TTTGTCCCTCATATTTTTTGAAGATCAATATTTTCAAACTCAAAATTGACACATTTATTTAGGAGGCATCTATGTGGTCTTAGGCAGATACAAATGAACTCTTCCTGTGCTCTTGGTCTGGCAGGCTGGGAGTAGTGGAGCCTGAATGAATAGAGCTGGTTTGAAGCTGGATGATGCCTGCTCAGTTCCCTGTGTGCTTCTGCAAAGTGTAAAGAAGGTGTACCCCTGCCTGCTTGTCTCCAGACCTGGCCATCTTCACTGGAAGGTGTTGGTGTCCCCGCAAGTGAGCCAAGAGCATCATTTGTGTTCAGAGTCTGATTAATTGTCAGCTGCTTGAGTGAGACCCCCCTGGGGAAAAAGCACATTTTTAAAATGGGTTGATTCTGTTTTTGATCACACATTAATAATAATAAATGATGGCTTGATCATCCTGATGGTGTTCTTGATGATTTGTCATGCTTCCCAGGCAGTGTAAGGTTATCTTTTATACTCTTCAAATGTAACTTGAATTTCAGCATCTGAAAAATGGTGGGAATAAAAAGGAAACCAATTCTCGTTGCATAATTGAAAAACTGGCTGAGGTGAGCTGAGGAGAGAATACTGTTACCTGGGGGCTTGCAGCCTGAGCTGGTTAGCTGAAGGGAAGGAGAGCTCGCATAGATCTGTATTGGGATTTATAGAGCAGTCTGGGCTTGATCTGTCTGTGTAGCTGCTGCCTGTACACGGTGTAGCACAGGAGGGCGCCCAGTAGAGCAGCTTTACAAGAGTGAGTACTTCAGGGGTAAGGTAAGGCAGAACAGAGTGGAAGTAGCATAGGTGTATGTGCTTAATGAGAGGATGACAGCAAAGGCAAAAGTCCTATCTTGTGTAGTTAGATTTATTGCTGTGACATAGCTAAGACGTTTGGGATGGGCACTGTGTTGTATCTGGCTGTCCTTGTTACTGCTACAAATAGTTGAGCGCATGAATATGATCTCTTTTCCACAATAACACAGAGTAGCAAAGGGAAGGACACTTAATAACTGCAGAGCATCATTGTTGTAGCCAAAAGGAAGGCACTGCTGCAGGCCTGCTGAAATATCACTGGTTAAATAATAACCAGTTTTTAAAAGAAGCATTTGTTTAGGAAAGCCTTGAGGAGACTGTCAAAAAATACAAAGAAAAGATTAAAGGTTTAATGATACTGGCTTTGAATCTTTGGAGAATGCTGTGTTAAGCAAAATCACATCTATAAAGCAGGGAGATGTTAAACCAAATGCTAATCCAGATTTTCCTGTGTTTCCTGGAGTTCGTGATACCCAGTGAAAGTATCTGCCATCATTCATGCTCAATTTATTCTCGTTGGTATAATTAAAGGCAGAAGGACTAATTTCAACAAGTTGATAGCTCAGTGATTTTTTAATTGGGGAGCCCCAGTTTCTCTGAGGGGGCTAGAGTGAAACCTTTTGCTCTTTCCTTTGGGCTGTCAGAGGAAGGAGACAGATATCTCTTGGGAGTCAGCAGGATTCATTTCTGTGCTATGGATGTATTGTCATAGTAGTGGGAGTTGGTAGGATTCATTCCTGTACTATGTGTATATGTTGTCTTAGTAGTGGGATTTCTTGTTGCAAGGATTGGGAGTGTAAAGATGGGGAGTAGCAGTAGTCTGTGATTTAGTGAGGGCTGAGTACAACTACTCTATTAGAATGGTGTACACAGAGTTGAAAAACTTACGACACATACCAGGAATTTTCATTCTTTGTTAAGAGAAGGGTAAAGAGTTGGAAGGGCAAGTGTAGGAGCACTGTGCATGTGTTGATGTGAATACTGGTGTGTTGCTTCTAGAAAGGCTCTCTGGTTTTCGGATTCCAGTGAACTGTTTTGTGGAAGGTCTTAAGTCACTTGTTAAAGAGTAACTCTAGGAAATCTTCTGTCACTGAATATTAATTTTGAAATTAAAACAGGTGAAATGATAAAATATGAAAATCCTGTTACTCTATCCTATTTGGGGAAATGGATAACGAGCTGATAGCCACGTGCCTTCATGTCTAGGTCCAGAAGTCTTCACTGATGCTGCCAGTTTAAGAGAGCTGGTTTTAGATTTTTAGGAAACCCTGGAAAAGCCTGGCAAAAGAGATGTAGGCCTGACTAGTTAGCTATTAGAGCAGAATTTTTCTTCTTAATTTATCTTGGCCCTGGGCAAGGGCTGTAGCTGTTTTTCTCCAAACGCATTCATGTGGTTTTGATACACACTTCACTGTGAGCCTTTTGATCTTCAAGCATTTGCTTTTTGCAGCTGTGCATTTTGCTTGCTGAATGTATTAATGCTTTCAGATAGTTGACTAGGAATATTTCTTTGGGTACCAGTTCTCTGAATGCATTCTAACGAAACTCTGAGCTGCTTTTAGAAACAGCGGTATTGTTAGACACACTGTTCTGATTTAACTGCTCTCTTGCATGCTTTTCTTGACCATACTTTTTCTTACTATACTTCACATAATTGGTTTCTGCAAACATTTGCATTAATTTTTTAATGCCTAGTGATGTATTTGTGAATGAATCTTAGTAAGATTCTTGATTTTTGTCCCCCACCCCCTGCTTCAGCTCTTAACGTGGAATATGAGCCTCATAATGGGTAAGCCAGACTCAGCTTGGATTTACTTTTTCACCTTAAGTCTTCCTAGTTACTTTTCTTTGTAAAGAGATAAAAGCTGATTGTATACTTTTTCTTCCTGTTTCTGTCATGTAGGATGTTACTCAAAATCACTGCTTTTCTAATATTTATACATAAGATTCTTAGAATGGGTGACTCTTAAACCTGCTGTGTATGGCAGTCATGTTTGTTGTGTTGTTCAGATTGGTCCTGTTTCTGCCAGCATTTATTTTTGGAATAGCTGCATTACTTGTCATATTTTAACCAGTTTAAAGCCTTTGAGAAAATAATCAGTCTTAAGTGAGATGTATGAGTTACCTTTATCAAAATGCTATTTTATTAAAAGTGAAACAGCAATAATTTATCCTTTCATAACAATAGAGAATAAAGGATATTGACTGGGTGAAATATTAATGGTGCATGTTTTCAGATTTTTGAAACCTCTATCAATTTTTGTTCCTTCTATAGAAAATGGTGTCACGTGATAGCATTGGAAGTGATTTTTTCAAATATCTTCAAAGATCATGTGTTTTGGGGTTTTTTTTTGTTTGTTTTGGTTTGGTTTTTTAAACATATTGATAAACCTGAGCTTTGCTGTCCAACAGTGACATAAGAACAAACTGGAACCTTTCTGATGCTTGTGTTGGGACCTCACTGTTCCCACTTGTGGTTTGTATCCCTGCATTTGAAGAGTTCTAGCAAAATCTGTTTCTGTTTCCAGAATGAATGTTAAGCATGTGGAAATTGGAAACCTCTTTGCAGTTCTCTAGGAGAGCTCTCAAATGTCATGTTGCTGGTGGAGAGGAAGTGGGGAGATTGAGTACCACGGGTTTGTGTTTGGCCTGTGGTGTTCCTCTTGTTTTCTGAAGGCATTCAGCATGCCTTCCTTTAGATGTAATATGAAAATAAAATAGTGCTGCATTTGAGTCACAAAAAAGTTCATTGTAGCATTGTATCTAAATAAAAACATCTGCTTTAGCAACCAGCCACTCAGTCTATATACTGTGCTTCAGAAAAATGCACAGCGTGCTGAGATGGAGTTACCTTTTCCTGGATCTTAGGAGGGGATTTTTTTTTTCCTGTAGCTCAGTGTCTTTAGTTTCTTAATTATTGTATAGGCTGTACTGCGGAATTGTTTGTGACGACCATTGAGCAATTCAGTGTTTTGAGGAAGTCAGCAAAGGTCAAAAGAAATAGTTGTCACCAGCACCACTTCAAAGGACGTTCATATTCAACCTTGGTTTTGAGAAGTTTTAACCTTTTGCTAGGCAGCTAGCTCTTCCTTTAAGGTGCATCTAGATTTTTCTCTTAGTTGGGGTGGGGAAGAATTGAACTCTATTGCGAATCACTGTAGGTCAAATCCTCTTACATTTTCAGTTGCTGAAGAAACCTCTAGTGAGGGGTAATTAGAAAGTAACTCGTGGGGCTGCTGTTTGTTCTTCTCCAGTGATTGGTTCTTCTCCAGTGATTGGTGTATCTGTTAGGCTGCATTTACCCCATAACACTGGTCAAGAAGTAGCAGGAGATTATGATCAGCCCCAGTTAACCTCCTCATTCCTGGACCTGCAGTTTCCCTGACTGTCCACTCAGATCTCCCTTCTGCTCTAGCAGCACCTCTCCCTCTTCCTCCAGGACCCCTCCCAAACTCCAGGCGTGTCCAGGTGCTGGCAGTGGGATTGGGGGTCAAGGACACTTGGGGTGCCCTGAAGTGAAAGTGAGGGAGAAGTGCTGGCAGCATGAGGCCTTGATGTAAGACATTCAGGAGCTGCTGTAGATTCACAGGTGTTAATTCTTTGTGACTGTTTTCTGTGCACTGGCAGATGCTAGAGGATCTTTTGTTTTGGTGTAGTTTAGAAATGTGGTGCCCCTGCTCCTCTTTCCTGCTGCTGTAGGGATTAATGAAGGTGAGCAGTGGGTGGTCTGGAGTGTTTACAATTGTGCTGCTCCAGTGTCCATCAGTGAAGTAGTTGACTGTTTCTATATCTATCTTTCTACAGTTTCTGTGCTATTATTAGTTTATCAAGATGTTTTAAAAGAAGCTTTTATTTCTATTTATTTTTGTAATGGGAAGTCTGAGCTGATCCTGGATCCTGTGGTATTTCTGTCCTGCAGAAATGAGCTCTGTGAGTATACATCAGGAATTCCTTTTAGTCTTTGTGGATTAGCAGTGTACTTGCATGTTACTTGTGTAATATTGTATTGCTGTTGATGCTTGCGTTGTTTCTGACATCGTTGGGTGTTCTGGAGAAATAAATAATGTCACTTCATGCATATTATATTTTTTCCTTTGTTCAGTGCAGCAGGTTTACTGGAAACAGGTATTAAACAAGACAACTATTGCATCCTCTTCTTTTTGTCATCACAGGTGGCGACAGACAAGGTTGCAGGAAGGCTGAGCTCTACTCTCTCATGGGTGAAGAACACTGTATCGCACACCGTCAGTCAAATGGCCAGTCAGGTGGCAAGTCCATCTGCCTCGTTACACACTACATCCTCCTCTACCACTCTGTCTACACCTGCGTTATCACCATCCTCACCAACACAGCTGAGTCCAGATGACTTAGAGTTACTTGCTAAACTTGAGGAACAGAACAGGTGAATGGAAAACTTTTTGGTCTTCAAAGTACAGCAATGAGACTAAAATTGATTTACTGCAATTTCACCACAGAGGCTGTTAAAGGGGGGTTAGGTAAAACTTTGTGGCACAGCATTTCAGTTTCAAGGCCCCAGGGTTTAAGAACTTGTCGTCTTGTGCTGTGTTTTCACAAGTTCTGTTTTTGTGGAACTCCAAAAGATGTTTCTGTCCTGGTTTTACAGGAGTGCTTATAGCTGCCTCTAATCCTAGGAAATTACACTGGAGCCATGTGATTTTCACTATCCCCTTTAAAATAGAATATCTCAGGTATGAGACTTTTGTATAACCTCCTCACCTTCTTAGATCAAAACTATAATTTCTATTAGCCTTTTTAAATCTTAAAGATTTCTGAATTCTTTTTTCTCTATTTTGTTTCATTTTTACCCAGTTCTTGCTTTCCACTATATCACCTGCTGTGTTTAGAGACAGAACAGTGTTCAGCCATCTTCTTGCTGTTACACTAATAGTGGCAGATGCATAATGTCTTAAATTTAATGAAAAGTAAATTCCTAATTGGTCCTTTCTGTTTATCCTGGCTTTTTTGTACAGTAAACAACAGTTTTCTTGGCAGCCTTTCCATCAGTGTGTATCTATCTGCACCATCTACAGTTCAAGATGCAGCTTTCAGTTGGATCAGTTACTCTTGATGTGCATAGTGGTTGCGAACTGGCAATCTTACTAAGAAATGAAATTTAACTGTATGGTTTCTTAATGCTGAATTTCCAGAATCCATGCTTATTTGCACTTTTTAGTCAGGAGTCTTAAGTCATCTGGCCTCTTGCAAAATTTGGTTGTATTTGACAAGTACGTTTCAGTAGTTCATGAGAGGTTGACTGTAAAGGAGAGCTTGAGCTCCAGATAGGTTTTAGATTTATCGGAGAGCTGCAGGGCTCTGATACCTTCTAAAGATTGCTATCCCTTGTGCTGTAGTGAAGTGCAGAGTTGGATGGTTTAGCTCAAACTAGCTTCTGTTCAACCTTCTTCTAGCATGCTGGACTTTGCACTGAGGCAGTTGAGGTACTCTGTTTTTTTTAAGTCTGCTGGTTCAGTTATGAGGGTAGTAACTTTCAGCAGAGGAAGAGAGTAACTGAGAGGAGGAGGGGCTAATGCCATCGTGTCACCTGGCATATCTTCTCTGATGTTTGTATTTTGCAGCTTAATAGCAATACAACTTACAGGGAATTTGTTATATCTGTCTAGTTCTTGACCGAGAATAGAAGGCAGCTTCTAGAGCCACCTCATCCTTTTCTCCTTGTGATTTATGCAATTGTCTCTCCTTTGAAGATGAACTATATGTAATTTTTGCTGTGCAAATGAAAACTTATCAAAAGAAGAAAAATATTAGTTAACTAGAGTGCTTTTGAGAAAGTTTATTCATATTTAATCTGAGGCATTCCACTCTGCTCGTGACTAAGTGACTAACTTTTATTTGAAAAAGCAGTAATACCTGTTCTTTGGACCGCTTATCTGTGTTGGAGTGTAATAATGCCTTGTACAGCTAGAGTCATCTTGTTAAGCCTTGCAGTTAGACTCGCTTGCTTGTTGAAGGAAGAATGTGAGTTTGGGCTTGCTAGGCTTTCTTTTTCAAGTCAGCTTTCTTCATTTAGTAAATAAGCTAGCACATATTGTCTGGTTTTGTTTAATTTTAGTCCAACCTACTGTTCAGACCCGCATTAGTCATGTGTGTGAATTCTAGGTAGAGGCTGTCCTATCAAGTGTACCTTTTCTTATGAGATCCCACGCTTCAATACAGAAATTTGATGCTCTTGTTATGCTGGGTGCACTGTAGTTTCAGAACAGTTTGAATCTGCATTTTAGCACAGTGGCACTTTGTTGACAAGGAATTGTACCCTGAACACAGGGAGTAATTCTTGTTTCTGCTTGCTGTAAGGATTGCTGATGATGGGTATTTTTAAAGGTTTCTTTTTCATCGTTGGTTTTTATGTCAATAAGGAGAATATAAATTAGTTAAACAGCTAGAGATGGAAATAAATCAAATTGTATCAAGCTGTGTCATGTAGCATTCTGTAATCCAATTATACTGAAAGTCCCTTCAGAATAATGAGGTAGCTTGGTTCAGAGTCCTGGTGGAGCTGTTTGGCATTAGTAAATCATTTATAAAGTTTTAGGTGAAGGAAAACAGTGACTAAACGCCACAGAGCTCACTGCTTACTGTAAAAAGAGCTTCCCATTTTCAAATCTAAGGACAATGAGTTTATCCAGGTAAGGTCAAATTACAGAAACTTAGCATAACTTTTATAGAAAGCTGTGAAAACTAAAAGTGACTAGTTAGAATCTTGTTTTTATGATTGTAATGTTTATTCTGTGCTTGTTTTTCCTCTGTGATTACTTTGATGTTTAGGCACCATCTCAGATTGAGAGGAGGAGTTCCAAACTGTACATTTTTGTTATGGATCAGTATAGGCCAGGTTTCTAAACATTAAAAATGGATTTTTAACTTTTTTCCTCAAAACAAGACTTTTTGCATTCCATTAATATAGACTAAATTAAAATTAATCTTGAAAAAGCTAATTTTTTTTTTCCTAAAGGCATTACTATTTAACCCATTTCCAAACAAAATACTACTGCAGAGACTGTACTTGTTGTCTTCATGAATTAAATTACTTTTTTCCCTGACTTCCATAAACACCAGTAGGTGAAAGCTGGGAACAGGGAAAGCTAGTATAAATATATCTATCGTAGCAGAGAGCTTAAAAATTGTAGGTATGCTGAGATTTGTGTACAATCTCAGGTAAAATATAACTCAGGTTATAATTTATTAAATATCTAAAATCCAACCTGACCTTGCTGAAATGCTTGGGGCATGTGTGTGTGGGGGGGATGTTTAGCTTTTGTGCAGGTGCATTGAGAAATTACTTAACCAGATCACTCTGATTTACAGACATTGGAATTCTTGGAAGTTAAAGCACAAATTAAATTCTTGATATAGCAAAACACTTTCTCAAGTTAGTCTGAACTCTTGCTCTTGCCTAACATGTGGTCTAAAAATTTCCCGCTGCTTATGGGGTTCAGTATTAGCTGAGGATAAACAAAGCATGCCTTTTTTTCCCAGAATCCCCAGCTCCTTGCAAAATTGATGGCCATAGCAAGCAGGTAACAGGGAAGTCTCTTCAGCAACTTGTCCAGCACTTGGCACATCTTTACATATACCTAGAAGCTGTCACATTTGAAGTCCACACTTTAATTATACATTCATTAGCTATACTAACAACTTTTGTTGCATGGTGGTCTTCTTTCAGGTGTGAGATTTTTCCTGTATGATTATAAAACACCATGTTAATTTGTGAACAGTTGTCAGCAGATGTCAGGTGTTTTAAAATTGCTCCAGGTTGTAATTATTCTGTCTGTATTTCCGCTGTCAATTAAAAGTGTAATCGGGTAGACTTTTAGGAGGCTAATCTTTTGTCTTTTCTTTAAAATTACTGTGTCTTTTGCAGTACTTTGACATTTGATGCTATCATTGAGGATATTTAACTTATTTATGTTCTCTATGTCAGTCTGATGCACAACAGCTGTGGTTTTTTGTTCCTAGTGAAATCAAAGCCCTCTTGATGGTACTTATGCCTCAAACCAAAACTTGTGCGTCTCCCTGTAGGGCTGTTGATGAATGTTGCTCCAGTTGATGAATGTGTGAAAGAGAGTTGGACTTGCAATGCTTCTGTACCATCTCTAATTTCATATCTTAATACATAAAGATGTAGTTCATGAGACCATAAAATACTTGTATTAAAATCTTCTGACATTTTTGTCTGTTTCTTAAAATGCTGCACTGTGAGCTGTTCTTCTGTCTGCAGAATTGCTTGAGATCTCAAGAAGTAACAGTAACATTGACCAGCTCTTTTCAAATTTAGTACAAATGGATGTTGGAAAGACTGTTCCACTGAACCTCTGGGTGCATTTTTTGTGAAGAGTTTGGAAGAATTGACTTCTAAACAAACAATTAATAGTGTGGTCCTGTGATCAGAAGAACTTGAATTTGTTTTTTGTGTGCTTTCTTTGCAGACTCTTGGAAACAGATAGCAAATCGTTGCGATCAGTAAATGGGTCAAGAAGAAATAGTGGGTCTTCTCTTGTATCTAGTTCATCAGCTTCTAGCAATCTCAGCCATCTTGAAGAGGACTCATGGCTCCTGTGGGGGAGGATTGTAAATGAATGGGAAGATGTACGGAAAAAGAAAGAAAAGCAGGTTAAGGTAGTAGTTGGACACTACTTTTTAGGATGTATTTGTAATGTGATATAAATGATACTGTTTCATCTTCCTCTTGGTCTTTTTTTTTTTTTTTTTTTTTTAATAAATAGGTAAGAAAAGCTTCCAGTTGAGTCTATTCCACCCCTGAGCCTTAGTGCTTCCTATGTAACTGTTACCAGAGTTTGGTAACAGTTTTGCCCAGCAAATATCTCTTACTGGAAACTAGATGCATTTACTATGTCTTGAATACTAAAGCTTTCAGTCTACCTTTAATGAGAGATTCCCATGAATATAGGGAAGATTTGCCTAATGCTTCTAAAATGGAATTACTGAAAACCCACTTAAGGGCATCTGATAGCTGGATGCTATGATAATTTTCCCACTGAACACCAGTCTTTTTAAAGCATTCTTATTAGAAGAGCTGATAATTCTACTGTATGAGGCTCTGAGTTTAGTTTTTTGTGCATGCTGAGTGTGTTGACCCCAGGGATGACCTTAAGCAGAAGAACACATAGTTTCTAAACTCTGAGTGGATCAGACAAACTTTGACCAGTGTCTGTCCAGTCTGGGTCAGTTGTGGGCATGTACAGAAGTAGAATTCAATTACACTTTAAATTCAAACTAAAAAGCGTCTACAGGGCATTGAACATACTCATTTTCAGAGGCAGCCAGTACAGCAGCATGGGGTTTTTTGTTTGCAGGCAAATCTGTTCTGCTTTGGTTCTTTTATTGGCTCTAGCCTGTAGTTTTATGTGCAGAATACAAATTTCCAAGTCTTTTGACTGGTTTAAAATGTGTGTATGAATAGGTTGTGGGAAGGCAGAACAATGGGCTAAAGTAAAGTATCTTTTATGTGAAGCAGTTGTGAAGAGAGAACATGACTTGAGAGAGAAAACAAGGGAAGAAAATTAATTCAAGACTTCCTGCTTGCATAGGGAAACAGTTTTGGGAAAGGTGTTCCCCAAAGGCCATGAAAAGAAGGCCACGTGTACCTGGGAAGAGAAAGGAGAAGTGAGATGGTAATAAGTAGTTCTGGTTGTGTAGAATTCATTTGAACTGCCTGCATTTGAACATTTTAAAGTATCACAAGTATCACTTGTTTTTACAGCTGGCCAAGTGTAATTTGGGGAGTATTTGACTAAAGTTCAGTAAATGTTTAATTATATTGCTAGTGAGTTTTCCTTTGCTGGTTAAATAATTTTCTATTTTTTTTCTGTTTTTGTTTGTCAAAAGTCAGCCTAAACTCTGTCATTCTGCATTTATGATGGAATACCAGAACATCCATGCCTATTTCCTGATTGTGCCAGTAGGTATAACTTCAGCAGCATAGGTATCTTTTTGTCTTGGCTGTAAAAGCTGGTCTTAAGTTACTAGATATCTGGTAAATTTTTTTAAGTTTTAGACATAGGTGTATATACCTTCCTGCATGTGATGTGTTCCATCGTTATGTCTCTTGATCTGCTTCAGAACTCGCTTCCTGTTTATGGAGGGATTCTGAAGGATGACTTAAGTCCTGCTTTTCAGTGTGCGTAGTGCTGTGTAGAATAGCATCATTTTAGCACTGCTTAGTAGGTACGTTTTCCTGCTGCTCCTTTAGGAGTGTTGGAGGGATTAACCCTGTTGTTCTGTCAAGCAGATGTATGGTAACTTAACGAATGAAGCATTACCAAGTTGTTTCTTGCTTTATTAGTAGCTCTTGAGGCTTTAGATGGTTGATCTGCCATCTGATAGTGCGTTGTTGATAAATGGTAGCTAGAGACAGATGTGGAAAGCTGATGTGTTAAGGTTGTTGTCTTGGAGCAGGAAATCTTTTAGGAAATAATACAGGGTGTCATAGTTGTGTCATAGGACATAGTTGGAGTGGGATTACTAGGATGGTTCTGAAGAAGGCTGGAGATCTTGGAGATATTAGAAAATTGAGGTTAGTGGTGCAAAGCTCCTGTAGTAGAGTTCAAGCTTAACAAAAACAAAGATTGAAAGCAAGAGTCTCTTTAAAAGTTATCACTGTTGCATTAATTAATCTTAATGTTTGGAGAAGTAGAAATATTTGGAACAAACAGGAAAAAGAGGAAGTTTTGCAGAATAGGAGATTACTCTGGCTTCAGAATAAACACTAGTGAAATAAACTATCCTTTAGGAGACAGAATACTTGATAACAGTTCTTAAGGTACAAAAAATTAAAGGAACCCTCTTGTCTTGAAGAGATAATCTTCTAGGTCAGAATGATCCTAGTTGCAGAACAGGACACTAAGACAGTCTGTAAACTTCCTGAATCTTTTTTTTTTTTCCCCTAGTTTTCAGATCAAGCAACAAGACTACTTTCTGCTTGTGCTTTCTGAACAGACAAGTGCCAGGTTCTTAGATGTATTGATGTAGGAAGGTTTGAATTGTATAATACGTAATTGATTTTTTTTTTTTTCAGGGAAGGTAAAGTAAATTTAGTTAATTCAGTAGATGTAAACTTATTTTTTTCTTGGTCCAGTGTCTGAAATTACATTTAAATACATTTTAAAGAAAACTTGGAAATACTGGCACACCAGAGAAATTAGACACAACTTGTCAAGTTTGTCAAATGACTTCTGATTGCAATTCTGTGCAATATTTTTTTTTGTTGTTGCAGTTAGCTGTGCTACAGTTAGGTTTGTTTTTTTTTTTATTTACTTGTCTTGGAAATAATTTTTAATTGGTGAATTCTTAGATCTCAATCACTATAATTAAGGGTGTTATCTTCAGTCATTTTGTGAAATATAAAAATAACTATTAAATTCTGGCTAATGGGAGTTCTTGTTTAAAATTACTGTGCAATATTGATTTTTTTCACGTAGCTTACTAAGAATAGGGGACTGCTTTCATTAGCTAATTTAGCCACTAAAATGATTCAGTCTCCTTACTTTTGTTAGCTAACAAGCTATCACACTAAAATTGAGGTTTATGTGTCATAAACTGTATTATTGGTTTGTGACACAATGTAAACATTTTGAAGTTGTGAGGAACTTAATTCTTTGAAGTGTTTTGTTCTTTAGGCTTATGTTTATCTTTTCAGGAAATATAAATGAATTTGTGTTCTTTTTTGTGCTTTAGGAGCTTGTTCGAAAAGGGATACCTCATCATTTCAGAGCAATTGTTTGGCAACTTTTATGTAGTGCTCAAAGCATGCCAATTAAGGATCAGTATTCAGAGCTTTTGAAAATGACATCTCCTTGTGAGAAATTAATAAGAAGGGACATTGCTAGAACATACCCTGAACATGACTTTTTCAAAGAAAAAGACAGCCTTGGACAGGAGGTCTTGTTCAATGTAATGAAGGTAAGTCATTATTTCAGCCCTTGAAAATACATTAGCAAGAAGGTGCACAGAAGTTTGGAAAATAATTTGCCTTGTGTATAGTGAACTTGCGTCAGTTTCATGTGTTGTTTTTTTTAAGCTTACTCTACCTGACACTAGAATAGTTTTAACAAAGGACATTCCAGTTTCAAAGATAGCTTTCAAATATGATATTCCTATAGTTAATGGTTTTACTTTATAAGAGATTTTAAAAAACTTACAAAGTTTTAATTAAAACAAAGTTACTTGCTAACTGCTGATAGTATAATGGAATGAAATGTGCCATGAAGTAAACCATGTTGACCAAGACAGGAACACTGTAAATCAGAACTAGCATTCACTTTTCAAGTGTTTTTAAACCCACAAGTGGTAGTAGCAAATGGGAGGTACAAGCTAATGTGCAGTTGTTACAGTGCCCGAGCCCAAAATGAGAACGCTACTGTAAAATTAAGTTTGTTATTTTGTCTTCGTTGTACTAGAGCTTAAGTTTTGAAAGATGGACTTCTCCATACAACATAGTTCAATGGAGAAGTTGTCAGGTTTCCAAATCATAGTAGCTTCCATAACTCTAAACTGAGGATGCAATGTGTGTGGAGATCACTGCATTTCCTCCACCGGTAAATAAAACTGCAGCACATAATTTTTCTGAAAAGAACTGTTGTTTCTTTGCCTGGTCTGTTTCCTTTAAAAGTAGTAGCCTTGTACAGTTTGTATGCCAGCTGTCTCTGTTATCTTTTGGCAACTCTTGTAGTTGAAAACTGCCCGCATATATATGTGTGTGTATATATATATAGTATGTGTATATATATTTTTTTTAGGTAGGTAAGCCTTAGTTTTAGCTTTGTAGGTTATCAGTGAGCAGAGTTTGTATGCCTTTGTAGCAGCTATAATATCTAACTAAAGCTTCTGAATAGAATGTCTGCCCTCACTGGATTTGGGAGAGGAAGAGTAAGTTATTAGCAAAATAACAGCATGAACTGTGACTACTTTCTATTAATAATGAGGTTTAAATTGTTGAGAGTCTTAAAACTTCGTTTTGTAGGCTTATTCTCTGGTGGATCGTGAGGTTGGATACTGTCAAGGGAGTGCTTTTATAGTTGGATTACTGCTTATGCAGGTAAACATGATATTAAAAATATGTGAACCTTGAAAAGCTCTGCTAGAATGCATACTGTATCATGGTGGTTTATTGGGAATTTTTATAATAGTTTTCCTTAGTCATTTTGTTACAGTGGATTTGTCAAGGGCAGCTGTTTACTCTGCAAATCAAATGAGATTTGTTCTCTGTGGTTCTATTTGCCAAGAGGATGCTATCTTTGAGTGGAAGAATACATTTATTTCTCAGAGCTAAGGTAGGATTGCAGACTTGCAAGCTGTTTTGGTGAATGTTGTTTCAACTATTAACAAACTTCTAATTTCAGTTCTGTTATACTGAGTCTCCTCAGAGTCAAGTGGACCATCACAGTTAATTTGATAATCTTAAAGCTGCCTTTGCATTACTGCCTTTTTCTTTTATGACAAAGTAGGGAATATTATAAGAAATTTGCAGACCTCCATTTCAGTTTAGAAATCACTTGATAGAATTCTATATATACAAAAATTAATTACAGTAATTGAGTATAAATCCCTTAAAAAAAAACCCCGACCGAACAATCCAAAGCAATTAAAAAACCAAACCCACCAGATACACAAAGAAAACCTAACCCTAAACCCTCCCAGGCAATTACTGTCATATATCCTTACATTTGTCCAGGGTTTTTACTGTGCTTTTTTTTTTAATTATAGATGCCAGAAGAAGAGGCATTTTGTGTGTTTGTTAAAATAATGCAGGATTACAGACTACGAGAACTCTTTAAACCAAGCATGGCTGAACTGGGCCTTTGTATGTACCAGTTTGAATGCATGATACAGGTACATACAAAATCTATCAAACTTTCTCTTCAGTAACTATTAATAAGGAACTTGGGAATTACAGTTCAAGAGCATGCATGTCTGTTGGCTAATAGGCTTTTTCTTGACAGAAACTGGTTTCAGAACTTTTGTAGTATGTGCATGTGGCTGTGTTGTCTACTTTTTCACCTTTAGCAGACAGTGAGTGGCTTTAAGCACTGAGCATAAGGATTTGTATTGCTATAGTTTAAGCATATGAATGTCTCATTGTGTTTGGATTGAACATTCTAAAGTCAATGTCTTTATAGTAAATTTATAGCTATTTTAAAAAATGGAAACTGGGAGATACCGTTGTATGTAGAATTAAAATTGCATTCAGATTTGGGACACAGAAAACACTTTCTTCCTGGTCAGGCTGATAGAGACAAATGGGTTTGTGTTTTTTGATCCAGTTCCTAACATGATGATCAGGGTCAGGTGTTAGGTAGCAAATAAGACATAGGTCTCTGGCCATACCCTAGATCTTTCCAGCTCTTTTTTTTTTTTTTTTGTTTTTTTTTTTGTTGTTGTTGTACTGTAGATGTAGCTTGAGAATTTATAAACTTGTCACTTCTTGTTATGTTCAGGAAGTGTTTTTGTAATATGTGCTTTGCAGGGTAGAAGTGTTGTAGGGCATTCTGTACTGGGACCTCTGATGCATAGTTCTTGATAATGTTGAGTAAAATCTTTTCTAGTCCTGTGTTATGAAGTTGCTGTCTGTACTTGTACTAAATATCAATTATTTTCTTTTATTCAAAATTAGTCAAAAACATGGACACACTACAACTACCAGCAGAAACTTAACGAGTGTTTTTTCTTCACCTTCTTTTCCAGGAGCATCTTCCGGAGCTTTATGTGCACTTTCAGTCTCAGAGTTTCCACACTTCCATGTATGCGTCATCATGGTTTTTAACTATATTCCTTACAACTTTCCCACTACCAATTGCAACAAGAATATTTGATATCTTTATGTCTGAGGTAACTACTCAATACTCATGATCCATTTGAAGAGTAGCTGTTAAAAGCAGTTATTTGGGTAGTGGTATAAATCCCATTATGATGGGCAAATCTCAGATATTCTTGCCTTTTAGTCCTTGTGCTTGTCAGACTCTTTTGTAGGGGAAGATGTCTGTCTATGTAGTATGTCAAGGGAGAACAACTAAATCTTTGAATGTAGACGCTGTATGCAGCTTTGTACTCTAAGCCTGCTGAAGGGTTACCAAATCTGTCAGTTCTGCTTGCAATGCAGTAGCATTGTGTACAACAGGGACATCAGTTTCTCAGTATTATGGTAAGTTTGGGATGAAAAGTAATGCTGCTTTCAGGCCGAAGTTAGAGCTCCATGGGGATATGCAGGCCAAGAAGTGGGAGCATTGGCATGTTTTATTGTCCAGATGATGAACAATAGCCAAAGAAACTTAGGGAATTATTCAGTGCCACTGTCACAAAGACACCGAAGTTCTGTTTAAGATTAGAGCTTGGTGTGGTTGTAACTGGTAACAAAACAAAGCTTATGGTTCATTTATACTCTTTTGTCTGCAATCAGCTTTTAGAAAATAGTAAGTTAAAGGCAGATCCTTTCAGTTTACACTGAAGAATGTCCAAGATATGAGTGAGACATTCCCTTGTATCTGTTTAAGTAGTTTAACTACATTGTACCATATCTGAAATTAAAATGGCTTTTTTGAGAAGTACCTGGGGGGTTTTGTGCTAGATATATTTAAAACTTTTGATAAAGCTGACAGAGAGAACACCTGTCACTCAAGAGTTTTTACCTCAGCGCTAGCCTCTCTGAGGAGGGGGTGTGGCATCAGGGCAAATAACCAGACTACTTGTCTTTGGGACAAAATAAGAAACCCAGAACCAATTTATTGAGAGATTTTTCAGTAGCCCTTCTGCTTGTTTGAGAAACTGGATGAGATTGCCAACGTTAGTAAGCAGTAGAAACATTCTGTCCTGTTAACAATGCCATGAATAACAATTGGATATTTCTTAACTTCTGTTTGCAGGGTTTAGAGATAGTATTTCGAGTAGGTTTAGCAGTACTTCAGATGAACCAAGCAGAATTACTGCAACTTGACATGGAAGGAATGTTACAGGTAAATTAAGATTATAATAATTGTAAGAGATGTCTGAAATGTGTAGTGTGTATGTATTTCTTTGCAGCTATTAATTATATGTAATCTTGTGCTCTGATTGCTTTTAGCACTTTCAAAAGGTCATTCCACATCAGTTTGACAGTGGTCCAGACAAATTAATCCAAGCATCTTACCAAGTCAAATACAATGCAAAAAAGATGAAAAAGTAGGTATAACATTTTGAGAAAATAGATTACACTGTTGCTAAGAGCTACTGTTTGTTTATCTTTAAAACTAGTTGTTCAGTATTTCAGTTTGAATTTTCCATCTTTAAATTTTCTGGTGTCTTATACTATAAGCAGTTAAAACTGAAGTTCTGTATGCAAGAAAATTACTCTAAAGCAGTATTTGCCATCTTTTATTGAATATAATAAAGCTATATCTCCCTTATAAAAATAGCCTAAAAAGCTTTTGAAGAAAACTGCAAGTTACAGGGAATTACAGCACTTATGTAAACACAATCTGAATAGAAAAAGCAGTGTGTGTGGGGTGGAGGGATGGGCAGTGTGTTTGGGTTTTTTTGAGGGTGAAGTAGGG